CTTTATAATGGCCGTAACCGTTGACTTATGCCGGTGCTGGTAAAATTCAACCATAGGATTTCAATGCTTTCGTTCATACTAATACGGCAAGTTAGTATGAACGAAAGCATTGAAATCCTATGGTTGAACTTTACCGGCACTGGCATAAGTCAACGGTTACGGCCATTATAAATCAGGTTTAAAACATAAGAAATTGAACCAATCAGAGTCCTTTATTTCATCGAAAGGAAGGAAACGAAGGACTTTGATTGGTTTATTTTCTTATGCGTTACGTATTATATACGTTATGCAAGAGTCTGTACTCTCCGCTTAAAACCTGATTTATAATGGCCGTAACCGTTAACTTATGCCGGTGCCGGTAAAGTTCAACCATAAGATTTCAATGCTTTCGTTCATACTAACTTGCTGTATTAGTATGAACGAAAGCATTAAAATCTTATGATTGAACTTTACTCCGGATCTACAATAGGGTTTTAAGCCCTAATAAGAAATAGGCGAATCACAATCGATTATTCCCCTCGGATTTGACTGTAATTGGTCAATTTCTTACAACTTAAGTCTTAAAACACCTATTATAGATCCGGACTTACCGGCACCGGCATAAGTTAACGGTTACGGCTATTATAAATCAGGCTTGAGGCTTTACTGTTGTTGTATTCTTTTAGATCATCCAATAGCAGCTATTTGAATTGAGTCTGCTGATTCGCGACCATTATCGCCTCGCTGATTGGCTTACAGCGCCAGTCTGAACCGTCTGAACTAGACATAAGACTAACCTAAAACTTAACCTTTAACCTAACCTTTAACTTACCTAGACTCACTTTATTATAAAAGCACGGGAAAAACAGTGTAATACATATAATACATATCAGCACGTCGGAGAACCCTGTGTCTATGTCAAAAAAATTCGTGGACCAGTAGGAGACACTATAATTCGCCTTCATCCTGAGGCATCTTTTAACAAAAAATAATTCAATGCTATATTCGAAGAGTTTAAATATTAATTATAACCTCGTAGTACACTAAATTTCAATTACTCGCCTTGTGCTGATCACACCTTAGGTAAATTACACGAAAACTTACATCAAACACCAAACGAAATCAATTTTGAAAGTTACTTGTAAACAGACGACTCAAAGACAAAACAAAAATGACAATACTTAAGCAATATTACTAGCGTCATAGTGTTACCTTTAAAAGGAATATTTCATTCAAAAATTACAATGAAGGTAAGATTTAATTGTCAGTACAACTTATCCAACTCTCCTCAATATTTTTTATTTATGGCGACGCGTTAAATTACATCTTCGAGTCACTTGCATGCTTTTTGCCTAAGTAATATATAAGTGTATCTCGGTACCTGCCTTTCATTTATTCTGTCTACCATAAAACGATGAAATTTTCACTTACAATTTTTTCCTAGAGTAAAAATTTTTACGATTTTTAATAAATTAATGAATTTTTCAGCTTTGTTTGTCAAAAATAGAATGTATCGAGATTATATATATATATATATATATGATATAACTCCGACACAATTGTGATAATTGTGATTGCGTTTCAGATACAATATTTCTTTTAACACGACTTACGTTTATTTCTGATCGACAAAGATGATTGTCAAAAACAAATCCTGTCGATTGGTAAGCAATAAATGGGTTTCTAAACTATAGATTACGGAAATTTAAACTTCTGATTGTACTAATTATTTTATTTTGCATCAATATTTTAATTTATTTTTTTATTAAGTGTTAAATTTATTTAATTTTGCTAATAATTTATATGATTTAATTATGCAGTCATATGAATGTGTAATTGAAGGCTAATTTTACAATTTATGCAGAAAGTATTAATAGTCAAATTTTAGTAGAGATTTTATTTTCATCATAAAAATATACAAATTTTGTTAATTCGTCTATCCTTTGAACTGTGCTACTATATACAATATATAATTATGTGGTTTATTATTTCAAATCTAAATTCACATAACCTTTACAATACTCTGTATAAGATTCAATATATAAAGTGCATTAAGATTTAAATTCCCAGATATAAAAAGATATGAAGAGATAGTAAAATAAAATAATTACTTTAATTTTTTTAAATAATCATTCTTTATTTTAATACATTTTTTGAACAATGAATTAATTTTACTATATTACTATAATAATATTCTTAATATATCTCTTTAAAATTATTTATAATACTGTAGAGATCATTGATAAATTTTTTTGCACGCAAATCAGATTGTGTTTCAAATAATCACTTTTATTTTCAATTTTGAAAATAAAAGTGATTAATTAATAATTATTTTTTATTTTGCAGTATTAAATTATTTTAAGGATAAAAGTTTAGAATGTTTATAGTAGTATAGAAAAATTAATTCATTGTTCTAAAGAATGTATTAAAATATAGAGCAATTATATTAAAAAATAAAAATAATTGTTTTATTATTTTTTTTCTATTTTCTTGAGCTAGAAATTTTCGGATCTTACTATATGCAATAAATTCAAAAATACTAATATTGTGCATATTATATTGATTAGTTTCTATTTTTTTTCTATTATTTTTCTTTAGAATACTGTTTTAAATTAAAGTAAACACAAATTTCATCAAGATGGCAATTGGAAATACTATCTGTGGAGTAAATACTCCAAAAGTGAAGAAAAAGAAAGTTAAGGTATTTTTTTTTAATTAACGCATTGTTAAAAATATTGTAATTTGTCAAATGCAATTTTGGTTTTAATTTAATTCAACTATTATTATTATTTAATTTTATTTTGAAATTGTTTAACAATTAGTGCGATATATTTATATAATAATAATAATGGTAAGAAATTATACTGTATAAAGATTTTTAATATATTTCGAGTTAACATTGCTTCTTTTTTGACTGCAGCTATTGTAACCTTATATTTTTCAAATTGTAGACAACTGAGCGTAGTTGGATAGAGGCAACGTTTCAAAAGAGGGAATGTGCAAAGTTTATCCCAAGCAATGAGGATGAACATAGGTAGGACTTTTACCTGAAATAGCCTATAATGTGTATGTACATACACAAAGTGTTTCAAAATTTAACGATAAACTGTAAGAGCATATTTTACAAGTGGAAGTAAGAAAAAGCTATATGAAGTTTGGTTAGAAATATTCTATTACAAAGTTATAAATAAGTATTTAAACGGTACATGAAATAGGAAACACGGATTTTTCATTGCACAGAATATGAAAGTGTACGTTTTGTATGGAAAATCGAATGCATATTTATCTCGTATGTATATTCACATCATATTTACTATCTTTAAGTGATTTAGTATCATTTCGATCTGTGCGTAAATGATATTCGTTTTCTGAGACAACAACTAGATTCGAAAAGAATAGCTATTAGATTTCTATCCTCGTGAAATAGTAACTGTCATCATTGTGCTAAAATGCCATCAATATGTTTCGTTTTTTACAACATTAGTTTATAATTTGATAATAAAACATTACTAGTCAAACTTCATATAATATTTTTATTTTCTTATTTTCACTTGTAAAGTATGATTCCGCAGTTTATCCACTAAATATTGAAACACCTGTGTATAGAAAGAATGATATGAAAACAAATGGTGCTAAAAAACCTTGCTAAAATTGTATACTATGAATTCTATATTATAAATTGTATAAAATTTTTTATGATTACAGTAAAATTATTGTAGTAACACATTTATGTTTTATTGTATAATAAATATCTTGATACTTTATATAGTTTATATCATCAAAATGCAGCGTGCGCCATAGAATACTAAGAATGGATACACAATCCATTGCTTCTCATTGATCAGTTTGTTTTATTCTTCTTTTCCATTTTGTC